GTTTGATTACTTGCTAGGATATTTCTCTATTATATGAACATATTAATATTAATATATTCATTTTAATATTAACATTCTAATATTAATATTAATATTTTTGGTTTAGTTCTATCCACCAGTTTCGTCTTTAAGATCACATTACCATACCAGTGAAAATGCACAGCAATTTATTCTTTTTAAAGCTATTTTTAAGCCTCGAATGTCACTTGAAAAACTTCCAAGCCTGACACCGCATGCAAGTTTGACACACAAATGTTTCTTAGTGTTAGTGCCAGAACTGCAAGAGAAATGAGCTGCACACAAATGTGACAGAACCCTGGTGTGTTGTGTAATATGCCCAGAGAGTTTTATCCCTTTCTTTCCCCCCACCAAACACAGCAATTTCTGCTGTGTTAGGGCCTCTTTCACGATTCAGACCTTTTCATTTGGCAATTCTGCCACTGCACAGTACACTAATTCAAAGTGCTTAAAGCTTGTTTATATTTCTCTTACTCTTTTTTTGCAGTACATGAGGAAGACAGCTTTTTGGAAGCAGTCATCATTACTCGTGGAAGACACCGAGTTAGTGTTACCCAATTAAACTACTCGGTTAGATTAAGACCTTGGCTTGGATTGAAATGCAATGGTTGCGTCTTTGTCTTGGTTGCTCCTGAAAATGTACGCAATTGCAGTTATGAAAGATTCGTCCAATTTTAATCTTTAGCCTCAAAATCATACTGACTGGCTCATTTACACAAATAGACATTTTCTTGACTTTCATATTTTTCCCATGAGACTGCGCTGGTAGAGATGAGGCTGTCTGATGGCTTAACGACTCCATGTAAAAGAACTGGAAATCTGCAAATACTTACCACACTTTTAACAAGGACTTGAAATATATTGAAGTTTTACGACTGTGTTGTGTGTGTGTGTGTGTCTTAGCGCCCAGGTCCTCCTTGAACCACTTGAACTGTCCACTCGGCTTGAGAGTATAGGGTTGGGAAAGACATCAAGCTGGAGGACTTAATTGGTCCATAGAGGGCTTTGCTAAGAACGGAGGGAGAGCGAGAGACAGAGGAGAGAAGAATGCATCTGACAGAGTGGAGGCGAGTGCGTGTGTTGGGATGGAAGTAGAGAAAGGAGCAGACAAAATATGCCAATAAGAGAGGGGAAGTCTGGGGAGCGAGCAGTCGTGGGGAAAAAAACAAAGAACAGAAGGTTAAAAGAAAAGGGAAGAAAGATGACAGACAGGTGGAGGAAGTGAGACAGGGCTTGTTGGAGAGCTGGTGAAAATGGTGTCGAATAGCAGTTGGGGAAGATTGAGAGATTGGGATGAAATGAAAGCAGCTGTAAAGGGAACTGAGGGGGAAATGAAAATGGATTGAATGGGGACACGAGGGGAGAAACAAAAGAGAAAAGATGAGCGATGGTAATCGAGAGGATGCATACAAGCCTCCAACTGATGAGAACAGAGAAGAGGGAAGTAAAGGGCTTTCATGTCTCTCGCCGTGCAGCGATTCAAGAATGAATTATAGTCTAGGCAGAGAGCAGGAGAATATTAACCTGACACTCATCCTGAATTCAGATTTCGCTCCTCGCCATCATTCACTCGCAAACTGCCATTCGCATGCTAGCTTTCAAACAAACCACAGTATTGTTGAAACTCGTCTTGTCTAGTTCATCTTAATCTTTAAGAACAAGGCCTTTCAGAAATGTGTGGGCTTTCAGAATCCTGGCTGTGCAGCTGAGAGACCACAGTGGGAAATTTCTTTCAGGCATTCGCTCGATGAGGAAGCGGTACATCCATCCGAGTCGAACACTTAGATAAAGGAAACCTCAAGATTCTGAGCATTTGACCAGATTTGAAAAAAAAACAACATATTTTTTTGGATACAAACTCAACACTTTACCTAGAAATCTGATTATGTTTGCCTTTTTAAATGACCTGTAAGGCATGTTGCTTTTTTTAGTATTTACTACTGTTCTATCGCGCCTTATTTTCAGCGATTTCCGCTCTGTGTTTGACAGCTTACTCCATTTCTCCCAGGTCATGTATAATAACTGCTCATTCATGAATAAGGCTCTTACAGTATACAGACACCCACCACTTTGTTTTCATATAATACATCTGGCAGTGAAATGTATGACTGTATAATACACATCACAGTCTTTCCACCTTCGTGTGAGTCACTTTGTAAGACCCCTTGATCATTTGGGCCCTCGGCTAGAGGCTTTGTTTAGACACACAGTTTCAATTAAATTTTCATCTGGGCTTTCTTACATTGTTTTGATGAACCAGAAAACACAGAAAGTAAGGGCAGAAGAGACAGTTACCCATTACCATTGACAGCACTTTCACCTACCCCTAAGAGATGCAGGACTAAGTGGTTCACCCAGGAAAAGTTTCAGTCAATGAATGATACAACTCTTTATTTCTGCTCCGTGTTCCTGTAGTTCGTATTTGCCCTCATTGCAATGTATTCTGTTGCTCTGAGTTTACCGAGGCTTCTGTTCTTCTAGAAGCATATTTTCCCAGATAGTTTTCCTGTGGATTATTTTAAATATGTTTTGAACAATCGCACAAAAAAGACTTGACTTTTGTTTTTATCCCAAGTCCTGAGTTTTGAATTTGGATTAGCAAACCTGCTTGCTACATGGCATAACATAATACCGCTAATATCTAGTTAAATGTCTCTTAGCAAGTTACACCTTGACCAGACAACTTTGGTAGCTATTGACAAGCTTCTGGCATAATTCTGGCTGGATATTTGACCACTTTTCTTGGACAGAGTGTTGGGTTTCCTGGCACAGACCTAGTTTTTAAGCATAGTCTACAAATTTTCGATTGGGTTAAGAAACTTCCAGAAGCCCTAAAGGAGGACCTAAACAGTTCAGCTTCCTTATTTACAAGCTTTCTCTCTGGCTCTCAATGCTCTGGTGACAGGGGATCCACAGACCCACATATGTGGCTTTCTTTGTCTCCACAGTGTCCACACCAGCGCTGTCTCTCTCTGCATCAACCTGCTAACCATATACCCAAGCATAAGGTGGCAACAGATCGCAATGGCATCAAACTGCCAGCAGAGGAGTTTCCACCTGCTCTCTAGCCTGAAACAGATTATGACCAACAGACAACATGTCTATCATTTATCATTTTACAACCCTGTGACCCCTAAAGCCCCGTATTCTTTTCCCAAAGTTAGCCACAAACGTCAATTAAGCAGCAACGGCCCTCCTGGTCCTCACCACTGACTCAGAGATGGCCTTGCCCACAATCATGTCACGGCAGGGAAAGAATAACATCTGGCTCTATAAGTCTCCAGTTCCCCCACAAATCATTTGGGAGCTCCTGGATGGTATCCCTTGTTGAGCTGTTTCAACTGTGTTTCCATAGCAGCACAGCACATCTTTTGAAGCACTTTGGAAAGTTGGGAAGATAAGCAGGATCGATCTTGTAAAGTCACGTCTCAGACTCCAAAACAATAAAATGCTAATCTTAAGAGGAAGCCACTTATAACAACTGTTGCTGTTGTATTTCCACATACACCTGTTCCTACTTCCTCCACATCATCCCTCACTGCTTGAACTTTCTCTCGAGGCTGGAGCCTAATAAGCTCCACGACTTGTGACAAGAGCCAGAGGCCAGCATTCTCTTGGCCCAACCAGCCCCTGGCGTCAGCTTACAAACAGGTTGCTACTGTTAGGGTGGTGAACAATATCACAGCTCTTCCTGCTCTGGTCTCAGAAGCACATATTCTTTGTCAGAGCTGTATAAGTTAAACATATAGCCTTACAGTGTACATTTTGTACATTTTATGGTTTCAAATTTACACACAGCATAACACTGTATAGGAAGTGGAAGCCACCTTTTAATGGCCATGGCCTAGAGGGCTCTTTTTCATGTGCTTCACCCAATTTCAGCTTTCTTGTCTTTTTTCCTGCATACAGGTTTTCAGTTACTGTGTTCAGTTACACACTTTACAATTATTGTGTTGGACATGGATTCTTTGTATACCAAAATTATTCTAGAGTCAAATGTGAGGCAATGTGTCTGTCAACTAAAGCTTGACTAAAACTGAGTCATGCGATAGGACAATGATCCCAAGCACGGCAGGAAATCAACAAAAGAATAACTGAAAAAGAAAAAAATCAAATTGTTGCAATGGTCAAATGGTCAAAAACTGGACCTCAGGCTAACTACAATGCTGTGGAAGCTGTGCATGAAACCTCATTTGAACTGAGCAATGCTGTACAGAAAACGTGTAACAATGTGATAGACTGATAAAGTCATACAAAAAATAATTAGTTTGAGTTATTATAAGTCCTGAAACATAAAACCTTAAAACTGAGTGAGGGTGTACTTCATTTTTTACAGGACTATTTTTTAATACAGTCTCTACAAAACTTACCCTAGCCTGTCCTTACATGTAGTTATTGACATTAACTTTGTATATCTATATCCATATCTGCCTAGTGTCTAGGTGTTTCTGGTAGTGTTGTGTGATACTGCAAATTTTAGAATTGATCCACTAACAAGTAAATAATGGGCCAGTATTGCTGATACTAATACCGATACTTTTAACTTATAAAGGCATCTTATGTAGGGGAGAGCAGTGAGTCATGACATGAATTAAATTTTTGAAACTCGGCATTTGGTAGATCTGGAGTGTACATGTTATTTAAGTATACTATGGACTATAAATAAAATAGACATGACAGTCAAATGTATATGTTTTAATTTCCAAAGAAATAATTAATTTAAAACAATTCACAACTTTGGTACTGGTATTGGATCAATACTTTGTTTCTATTCTCAAAGTTTGTATCTATATTATCAATATTTGGACCAATCCACCACCACTAGTTTGTCAGCTCAAATGTGGATAGTCTAGCCTAGATTACAATGTCCACTTTATATGTTGGTGTGAAGGAAATATTAGCTGCCGTTGTTATATAGTACATGTCATGAACCGAAGTTCCGTGCGCAAGCTGGACCCAGAAGCAGAACACACACACCAGGGTAGGAGGGAATAAAGAAAGCAAATTTATTATAACTAAAGGTGTCCCGTGAGGGTAGCCGAAAAAACAACGTATGGAACCAGAAGAAACCGAGGGACTGGGGAGGTAAACTGCGCAGGGAACGCCGAGAGCGGGGCTGTGAGAAGCTGCAAAACAAAAAAAGAGAAACAGATTACTGGGGTGCGGAAAAAAGGCAGCATACGAGGGAAGGTGGAGTATACGTCTTACGGAGGTAGCCGGGCTGAGTGAACCAGAGGGGGGGGCTCCAAAAGGGTCGAGACGGCGAGGCTGATAGTGCTTCCGAATCTCAGGCGGACAGGTGGACAGGCAGGTGGCTCGCAAAAACGCTGAGTTGTGATCTGAGTACACAGGGTAAAACAGAGTCAGTTCCAATGGACAATTTGTCATAAGGGTTTTTTTTTCTCCCGCAGGTGTACGTTACCGCTGAGAGGCGACTACGGACTGGCGTGGAGCAGCAGGTAGGGCAGGATTAAATAGTCCACCTGGTGATCGCTTGGGATGGGATGCAGGTGTGGGGTTAGCAGCCACACCCGTGGGCGTGGGCATCCCAACAGCACCCCGGACGCCGGGCCGCGGACCATGACAGTACAGGCTATATAGAATTCTAAATTCTGTCTTTTACACAAACTGCCTTGCACATCTGCATCCTCTAGACTTTATCACTATATGATGTAATCCTTTTTCATCTTAAACTCTTCATACAGTGCAGTTATGTCTCATAGAAGACTGTGCTACATAGCCATCGGAATGATCCTGCCTTTTTTGTAGTACAAATAACATTTATCTTTAAAAAAGCCTCTCTATGGAAAATTTCAAGGTGCACATGCTACATGAATCGGCTGACATTGATTGTAACATCATAAAACCAGCTGCACATATCTGAAAAGGAAAAAAAGAGAATGAGAGACTGGAATGTTAGAGAAGGAAAAACATTTTATATAGAACACACACACTCTGTACTCCCAGCCAGTCAGCGAGCCAACCAACAAGCTAGCTAGCTAACAAAGCAAAGGAGAGCGTGGGTTGTCATCCCTGTGTTTCTGTAGCTCCACAACCATAAATTAAGCCCCTGGGAGCAACCAACAACCAGATAGGGAGGGATAAAGAGTGGGTGAGAGAGAACAAGGAAAAAGGCTGAGAGAGGAAAAGCAACAGAGCGAGTAAGGGAGTCAGAAATGAAGACAGGAAGATGGGAGCAAAGACATGAAGCCTAGAGACCCAGTGGAGGCCCCAAAGACTGAACAAGAGAAGGAGTGGGCGGCAGAAACCCGCTCTCCCTTCCCCTCCATCCCCCTTCTGCCAACTGTGCAAGCGCTTAAGGCTTTCATCATCTCTGATTTTTGTGGGGTGATTTTCTGATTTGAGATGCATCGCACCAGTGACTGTGGATATTGTAGAGATCACAAAGCCTGAGACACATAATTTGTAAGGTTTGTGGCGTGTAGAGCAAAAAGAGGGAGCACAGTCAAAAAAAAAAACTAGTTCTTTAACCTTCAGTACATCTTTACTCAGAACAGTCCAAAATGGTTGACCTTCAATCTCAGTGTCATATCAAACATGTGAGGGCTGAATGTCAGCTGTCAGGTAATGTGCAAAAAAAGGTGCTAATTGTCTCCCCCTACACACAGAGAGACATATAGTTCCTACCTTGCCCCTGTGTAAAAGGCCTCCCACACAGGGAGTGCTTTAGCATTGTTAGAGAGGATGCAGTCATCCATCATCCAGCCATCAAGGGAGAGACAGTGACAGGTTATAGATTGGCTTGCTCTCTCTCTCTTCTCCCTCTCTCTTTTTTTTCCTTCAGAGAAGGGACATGGGACAAAAGATGTGCTCCACATAATCAATACCCAGCCTTCTGTCCATCTTGGGGAATACAGTGGTACAGTGAACACTGAGTCACACCTGCAGGCTTTTTCCAAGGCTTTTTTTCTTCCCTGTGACCAGTGTTAGTTGTAGCACATTATAAAGTACTGCACAAGAGTAGTCAGATCACTTTTTTATTATAACCAGTAAAGAGAAGATTTCATTGCACACTGTGTCCCTCTGACTCATTACTGTACAGTTAAATGTAACCAGTCCCATGGTGCATTGTTGCACATGTAAAGATTGGCTATCAAGACACAGAGAGGATGTGTAAGCATTTGTAGTATTATACACTAGGCTAACCCTAACTGTCTATCAACTGCGAAGAGCTTTGTTTCACCTTTTAAAGAAGCATTTGTAACCTAAAGTATGGTACCATAGCACTCATGTTGAAAGCTAAGAATTGCACCAGTGCTACAGCTCCCAAATCACAAGAGCTAGCTTTTAGCTAAAGCTGTCACTCTGATGCAAATTAACAAGCTTGTGAGGAAATGCTATGCAATGAGGTAAAGTCAACAGAGTCGGGGATACACATTTTTCCCAAGTGACTGATGGCTACCAGATGGTGGCCAACTGGTCTCAGCTCCTGTGTGACTGGAGCATAAAGTGGACTATATACATCAAGTCATATATACGCAAGCTAATAGCTGAAGGGAATTTATTTTTTGTGAAGCTAAAGCACTCTAATGAGTTACTTTTTAGTATCCTAATGAATAACCTTTCAGTGACAGCAATAATGTATTGTGGCATGGTCGTTTTATGTGAAATTACAGGGCCATAATCTATTTATTATTGTTATTATTGTCTACTATGTTTTACTTTTTTGTGATGGGCACAGGAAACATGCCAGTTTAAAATTAATTGTACTTGTATAACAACTATTCTATTCTAGTCTCTCCTTTCTGGACAGAGGCCTGGCACACGGTCTGACTGAAGCAATCAATATGAAAAAAACAATTATACTAAAACTCTGAGAAGCTGTGTAAAGTGTAAATAAAGTCAGAATGTAATGATTTGCAAAGTTCATTGACCAACAGTTTACTCACAATAGAAAAAAGAACACTTATCAAATGTTTAAACTGAGGCATTTTACTATTTCATGAAAAATATCAGCTAATTTAGAATTTGATGCCAACAACATGCCTCAAAACAGTTGGGTCTTGGGTAACAAAAGGCTGGAAAAATAAGTAGTACTGTAAAGAAACAGCTGGACAAACATTTAGCAAATAAGTAAGTTAACTAGCAGCAGGTAAGTAGCATGACAAGATAAAAAAAAGTTCTTAAAAGTAAAAACGGACAGAGGTTTTACCAATCTGAAAAAACAAACTGCTTCTAAAAATTGTGGAACAATTCCAGAATAATGTTCATCAACATAAGATTGTGAAAACTTCGACTATCTCAGTATGTATATGTATCTACAGTACATAAAGTCATCAAAAGATTCTGAAAATGTGGAGAAATCTCTGCACGAGGAACAAAGCTGAAAATCAGAAGTGGATGCCCGTGATCTTTGTGACGTGACACAGCACTTCAATGAAACAGGCATGATTCTATCATGGTCATTGCATGGCCACAGGAACACTTTCAGAAATCATTACCTGTGAACACATCTGTGCCGCTCACAAAAGCAGGTTAACACTCTATTGTGTAGATAAGGAGCTATATGTGAACATGATCCAACAATGCTGCTGTCTCCTCTGTGTCAAAGCCCATTTAAAATGCACTCAAAGTGGAAAACTGCTCTGTGGTAAGACAAATTGAAATTCTTTTTAAAAGCATGGACAACGCTTCATCTGGACTAAAGAGGAGCGGTACAATCAAGCTTGTTATCAGCGCTCAGTTCACAAGCCTGCATCTTTAATGTTATGGGGGTAAATTAGTGCCCACCAGACCAAAATCACTGTCTTTATTAGGCAATACTAAACTATGTTCTGCAGCTATTGCTACAGCATTGCTCCACAGTAGAGGAGCCCAGGTGCTGACCTGGCCTGCCTGCAGTCCACACCTTTCAACACTTATAAAACAATTTGGCACATCATGAAATGAAAACTACAACAAAAAAGAGCCAGGACTGTTGAGCAAGTAAAATCCTATATCAGACAAAAATGGGACAAGAGTCCTCTCTCAGGAGATCAGGAACTTGTCTCCAGATGTTTTCAGACTGCTGTTAAAAGAAGAAGGGATGCAACATGGTGGCAAATATGGCCTTTTCCCAACTTTTTTTTAGATATTTTGTTGCCATCAAATTGAAAATGAGGTATTTTTTTTCTTAAAATTATGCATTTTTTAAGTTTAAACATTTGATATGTTTTCTATGATGTATTGCGAATACAATATGGATTTAAGAGAATGCTTTTCCTATTTTTGTTACCCTATCACTTTGGTTTTCTTTCTTTTTTCTATCTTTCCCTTGCAAATGCTTCATCACACTCACAAAGTTCATCCTCATATCAACTATACATTTCAGTGACTTGTATTTACACCCCTTCTGCTGTTTGTACCATCTGTTTCATTGTCCATGCCTTGCTCTCTTGTGCCTTGTACTACTTTTGAAAACAAAGCTATTTCAGGGTAGGTGTAACGGTACTCCTGCCAGCACTGGGGGAATTGAATTATAGACATATGTCTGTTAATGTGTTTCAGCATTATTGCTGCTGTTATTGTCCTTTAGGGGAGCAGAACTGGACACTAGAGCAAGGGCTGTTGGAAAAAAAACATTATTACTATGTGACTGTAAAGCCCCGTGAGGAAAATTTGGGAGTTGTGATATTGGCTACATAATTACAGTACAGTGACCTGACTGAACTTACAAACACCAAACTTTAAATTGCTGTTGATTCACGGCTAGAGTTTGTATCCAGTCCAAAGTAACCTGAGAGTATATACAATATTCCACTCTTGTACAGTCTAACAACACAAATCTATAGCAGTTTAAATCATAGACTGGCCTATTTGGTTTGCTTCCATATAAAGATCACTTCCTGTGAAAATAATGTGACTCCTGCAGAGATTTTCCTCTATAGCAAAGGTAATTTTCCAGTGTCAACAGATTCATTAAAAAAGGAAAAAGGAAAAAAAAAACCTGGCCTATTTCCTTGAGATAAGAAGATAATTATACAGAGCCTGGCATCCATGACAACAATCTTGTCGTCTAATGGTTATCATTTATGAATAAAATGTGACATGTAAGACTTTATTCTAAGAGAGACGTTATCTAAGATAGATACAGCCACTGTGATGTTTACTAAACAATATCAGTGATATCAGTGTGAGTATTTTCACTACCACCGTCTTGGTGCTTCAAAGTAAATGCACACATAAGGTGCCAAGTGGTCAGTCACAAGGTATATTGACCAAGATGGGGACCATAACTTACAAAATAAAAATCATGCTGTATTCAGTAAAACTTAAA